TATATATGTATATATATATATATATATATATGTATATGTACATATTAGAGAACAGAGCGAGGTCACCATAATTTTGAAAAAAATAAAGCTGAAATCTGCATTTTTCCACCACTTTTAGCTAGGTGGGTGATAATTTTCTAGCAGTAGTATGAATTAAAAAAAAAATTGTAATTGTCACGATAATTTTTTTAGCATCAGATTATTATTCATCAGTTTGACAACTGCTTTTTAATAAGTTGTAGCTGTCCCAAACATACCCCATTGTAATTTTATTTTTATATCACATATCAACTAAACAATTATAACAAGTCATACTACAACTCCATAAAATTAAAATAGAGCACATAGAGTCCTAAAAACTATAATAAATTATAGAAGCCTTTGATGTAATCAGGTAGCGGACCCAGATAGACGGGATGTAATTAGGGACACCAAACCATCAAAGTTCGTAGGAAGAGTTGTAATGTTTCAATAAATGGTACATAATTTGTTTTGAATCGGGCTATGATGAAATAAAATTATTACATAGGGATGTAATATTTTTCCTTAGACCTTTGGGAACATTGGTTTATCTAAATCAATATTAAAGGTAGCTCTCAATAGGAATTTTAATAAACTACAATCTAGCTACAATTGAAAGAGTTCTTTGTTTCCAGTCTTAAAGATAGACATTAAATTTTATGGCAATCAATAGCATTCATTTTATTACCATCAATGGCTACTCCCAAGTAATCTCAAGGCAGTGGTTTATGCCAAAAGTCATCAATGGCATATATTTGTTGTTGAGAATTTTAGGGCAAAGAAAACACAAGAATCGACCCAATCCAGAAAGAAATACAAAGATTTAACGAGGTTCAGTAATTTGTCTACGTCTTCAAGAGCAGAGCGGTGACTTTTTTTTTAATTCGGGAAAATGAGTACAATATGCTCTTAGGGTTACAATACATCATATATATACCGTACTGTGGGTCGTTGCCCCCACACCCTCAACCCATATAACGAAACTCCCGTTCCGCTCCAGCATTTGTTCCTTATCTGGTATATGTGCCGTACCTAAAATTTGTTTTATTATTATTATTGTTATTGTAAAGTTAATTAACAAAGTATAAGAAAAATACAACAAAATCCCTAATGTGCTTAACCATTTGAATACCACTTCCTTAAGGTTAATTATGCCAGAAGGGATTTTCGAGCTTTAAACCCTCATAATTGAAATTTAATTCAATGTAACCATCAATAAAAAAGTCTCGAATTATTTAATTTACGAACATTTAGCATTTAGTGGTGAAAAAAAAAAAACTTGAAAAGAAAACAAGCGGGCGAAGTTATTTTTAAGAATTCATGATTTCGAACAACAATTTGTGAATTAACTTTCCTCACTCTTAAAAATAAATCAGGGAACAATTTATATCTAAAATAATATATTTATAAGCTAATGAAATTATATTTATTATCTAAAGTAAATTAAAAGATAAAATTTTTTTTAACATTATTAAATAATAATTATTATTATTAATTTATTTATAAATTTAATATATTTTGATTAATTGCATTGTCAAGAGAGTTAAATAATAACAATTAAATCTTATATTTTTAAGAGAATTTGATAAAAAAAATAAACTCATTTATTGCATTTATCATAGAATTAAAATAAAGTTGCAAAATATTTAAAATTAGTATTGTAATTAATAAATTAATTACGTTTAAAATTTACTTACCATTCTCATTTATAATTAAAATCAGAATATTTATAATTTACATCAAATACTAAATATAATATTTTTACTTTATAAACATGCCATTTTATTAGGAATATTAATTTTTTTTAAATCATTCATTTTCAAAAGATTAAATATAATAAATTATAAAATAAATGATTTTAATACAACCATACAATTTTTTTTTTTTAGTTAAAAAAAAACAATATAGTTTTAGAGGGTGATTTAGTTTTTTATTTATTAATTAATGATTATTATTTTGAATTAAATAATTAAAGCGATATTCTTTATTGTGACGTTTTGATGTTACATATACCAAATTATTCATAGCTTTTTTTTGTATTTTTATTTATTTATTTTTATTTTTTTTTATAAAGTTAAGCTACAAATGGGAAGGAATACCATTCAAAATGGAATGAAAAAGTGCTCAATTTCATATTTTGTAAAGAGCTCAATTTTAGATATGTCAGCACTTCCTTCTTCTCCATCTTCGCTCGAGTTTAATTCTACGAGTTCAAGCCGGCTCAGCATGAAAGAGAAAGAATAGTATTAATTTTAGTTAATAATATAATCAAATGAGTAATAGAATAAATATTTATGAATTAATTAATAAAAAAACATTTGATAAAAAATAAAAAATTTAAATTTTTAAAATACTTTTTAATAATATAAAGAAAAAATATTGAATTTTAGTATGTTTTAAGTATATTTTTTTATTAATTATTTTCTAAACAAGCGAATTAGGGAGCTAACAAGTCGAGTCATGAATAGCTACAGCTTGACTTGTTAGCTCATTGAGCTCAGTTCATTAGCCACTTATCGAGCCGAGCCCGAGTTGACTTGACTTGCACACTGGCTCACGAGTTGACTTGACTTGCACACCTAGCTTAAGCTCAACTGTTGGATAAGCCCACATACTTTGACATTTCACTTGTGTTAAACTCGTTCTCGGTATTTGAGTGATTGATATACATCTCGATGATCTAATGCAGAATTGCGACTTATTATTTTCATAACATGTTTTTAAGCATGTTATTCATCTCTTGTAGTTGTATCTAAAGTGATTATGAAATACCAACTTTGTAATGATGCTATACTATAATAGTGTTTTTTTTTTAATGATGAAAACGTACTAAACCTACATAGTAAGTAGAATTCAATGGACAAAGTTTGTCGTAAGCGGCAGTGACCATAGTTGGTCGGCGGTGGTGGTCGAAGTTGGTCGGAGGAGGCGATGGTGACAGTCAGAGGCGGCGGCGGTGACGGTCAGAGGCAACAATGACCAAATTTAGCCGAAGGTAGTGGACAGACAAATGGTAGTTGAGGGTGATTGGCACCTGTAGAAGTAGTTATTCATTGGATTGTCGTTGTAAAATCCTGACCTGTAACTTCCTCTTCTGCAAACTCTAATATCCTCTTCCCTATGGACTAGGTCCCGTCTCATGAAGGGGTTATAACTCTTTTTATACAACTCATGTTACAAATAAGAAACAAATTCAAACTACTTTTAATCGAACGGCCTACAGAGAACTCCTTGATTATACAAAATTCAACGGACATTTTAGTACTTTCATGATATCTAAATTGAGCAGTCTAATGAAGGGGTTATGACTCTTTTTATACAACTCATGTTACAAATAAGGAACAAATTCAAACTACTTTTAAGTGGACGGCCTACAGAGAACTCCTTGATCACACAGAATTCAATGGACATTTTAGTACTTTCATGATATCTAAATTGAGCGATTTTGAGCTCTTAGATTTTCCTTATCGAAACGCTCGTTTTTACTATAAATTTGTCAGATTTTGAATCTATTTGACCTTCAAATTATGTCCAAAATATTTCTAAAGATAATTTAACAACTTTATATGCACTTGATTTGACTCGAATTTGATTGATTTTAATATCATTGGATTCGTCTAGTCGAACTGATCAGCTTGACGGAGGGTTCTAAAATCAATAGTAATGGAGAGTTTTATGAAATCAATATTGCATGCCTTTTAATTGAAATTTGAAAATTTATTGCTAAAAAAACCGCCAGAAGATTTGCAACGACTCACTTTTTAAATTAAAATAACAAAAAAAAAAAATCATTTTTTCAAATAAATTAACATACATATCAAACAATTCTTATATATTTAAAAATCTAGCACCCAAAATTTGATATTTATATTTATAATATTTTAATCTTATAAATTTATGCAACAAAGTATATATCTCATAAAAAATTAATAAGAGTGATATTTTTAACTTGATATTAAAGATTTAAATTTTTAGGTTTTAGATACATAAATATATAAAAACTATAATAGTATAAAATTTCATTAGGCTTTGTTTTAGTTGATTTATGAATTACATTTATCATTCACGTATAAATATTAAGTAGCATGCAATTCAAGGACCTAAATGGGGCATTTACATACGTACCTCTCCTTATGAATTTATATCAACATTAGGTGTTAATTATGTAAATATATAGGAATTTTACGGTATGTATGTAAATTTCCCTTAAATTAATCATAGAGAAAATTTAAATAGAAATTTGCAATCAAACAGTTAATATTGTCCCTTGGTCAACAAAAATTGTTAAGAGAATTCATTAGATATATTTACCACAAAAGAGTGCCAAATTAGCAGCACCAACTATTGAGATTTATCTATTTCCCCCTGGCCTTTTCCAAGTCTGGTAGATCTGCAAACAGAAAATTTCATTCAGAAAGGAGAACAAAACAAGTCTTTATTACTCATATCTAATATCATGATACTAGTAAAATAGCAACAAAAATCAAAATCAAAATCATCATTTGATCATTTTAGATAAGGGGGCTCACATACATACCTCAATTTTTTAATATATTTACAACTAGAAAACACCTGCATTTTTTCGCTTAGATAAGGATCTGTTTGGGGCCGCGGTGCGGTGGCATTTTCAAAATGCATCGCAATTTGTCTGTTTGGATAGACAACATTTTGACAGTTTTTTTTCAAAAAATTGTATTTTCAGACAGCTGAAATCAGCGTTTTCACACCGAACCTGACTAGGCGTTGTGACAGTTTTCTAGCTACGGTCTACCCTTTTCAAAAAATATATATATATAATAGTCACCACAGTTTTTTCAACAGTAGATTATTTTTCAGCAACTTCACAATTGTTTTTTAATAAGCTGCATCTGCCTCAAACAGACCATAAATCAAACAAAACATATGTATGAAAAAATAAATTTCATTTTTAAAAAGATAACATCAGCATCACTTTTGATGGAATTTAAAAAATTGGGGCAATTACATACATAACCACAAAAAAATTGCTATTTACAAATCTATCACCCACTCATCGATTTTTCACTCACTCAAATATCAAAATTAATGATAAAACCCCCAACCCATATATATATATATATATATATATATATATATATATATATATATATTATCAAATACTCAATTCGATCGTGGCATGTGTAAACACATCATTTCGATAGTTCAAAATTTTCACACGTGCTCTAGGTTTTTATAAATAGCGATGTTTCGGCTGCTATGCATTTAATTATCCCTTATTTGAGTATTTTATATAAACAAATATCAAACTTTAGTATTAGATATGAAATTTCATAAAAATTCTAGTGCACATATGTATACATCCCCCATATTATGGAACAAAACAAGAAAGTAAAAGATCTTAATTTGATTTGGTTTGGTTTACTTACAGAGTAATCCATTTTCGTCATCGCTTTCGTCTCCCTAATTAAAAGTCAAGTTAAATTGCATAAATGATTAAAAGATTAGTACAATATAAGATTAAAAAAAGATGAAATTGGAGGAATAATCACACCTCATCCCCATGATCGTCTTCGTCGGAAGCAGGCCAATCAGCTGTTGGAGGGGAAAAGAACAAAGGAGTCAGCCATGGAATCAGCAAGGAGTAAAATGGAATATTAGGAGACAGATAGCGAAGTTGTTTTGAATAATGTTGCAGCCATCATGTCAGACTAAACAATGGACGAGTAGAATGTCAAAGAGATTCAGACTTTTACAATTAGTAGACTTAAATAATGTGATATTTAGTTTAATATAATATTATGTGCCGCTAGGTGTCACTTTGACGGAATGTTGATGGCAGAAACTAAAAAATGGATTAAAATCTGCATGAAACTTAGCTGAAGGTTCAAGACAATATAATATTAGCTCAACTTCACGCCATCATATGGCATAGAAACATTAGGAGTTTTGATTTGGGTTAACGGATCGAGTTCATGTCTGGACCGGATTTTGACCTGAACTGAATCCACATGACCCAAATCGGACCTGTTTATTTAAACAGGTCAAAAAGTTTGACTCGAACACTCATAACATAGAGCAGAATAATTATCTGAGTCAAATTCGGGTTGGTGGGTCAATTTTGATTCAATGTCAAGTTGGTGCATCAATTTCAAGTTGACGGATCAAGCCAAGCTTGCCCAGATTAAATAGATCAGGATTCTTGAACCGAACTAAACCTAAAAGTGAATCTGATAAACTCGAACCTGAAATTTGCTTGCCAGATTTAGGTTAGATTGAGGTTTCAATTTTTGCACCCCTAAGAAAGACCGAATGACAGGTGGCAAAAAGCAAATGCCCAGTTTAATGTTTTATCAACAAAAACTGCTATTATTAGGGTTGTAAAAGAACCAAGCCGAGTGGAACAAGAGCTTGTTCAAGTTCGAGCTCATTTACTGAAAACTTATTCAAAAGCTTGATTCGAGCTTCCGGAATACAGTTCAAGCTCGGCTCCACTTTGAGTCACGCTTCTGGGATACTATTCAAGCTAGATTCATTTAAATTTATTATTATTCAAGCTCGATTTGAACTAGGAACGAGTTTGATTTTATCAACCTTAATCTGATTTATATATTTTCCTAATTGTTATTGTGATGTTGTTCTTCCTTCATCCAGGTATATTAGAATAATGGGACATTTACATACATAGCACTCAAAATATTGCTATTTACAAATCCAGCACACACATTCATCATTTTTTCAAATTCTCAATCAAATATCAAAATTCATGATAAAACACCAACCCATAGTTTTCATTTTTGTCAAGTTCTCAATGGTTTGATTGTGCCATGTGTAAATAAATCAATTCAGTAGTTCAAAAATATTAAATGGATGCTGGATTTCGTAAATAGCAATGTTTCAGGTGCTATGTAATTATTCCAAGAATTTATCCCCAAGAAAATCCCCACTTGCCATGAAAAACCTTGTTGCTAACTATACTCTCCATCAAGACGTAGCATTTTTCTATAGTCGAAATGGTAGATCAAAACACATTGAAAATTTATGAAAAATTTTCAAATCCATGTTAGAAACACTAACCATTCATTTTCAAGTGTTTTTAGCCCAGTTTAGTGCACCTTCCAAGGCCAAATTCTTCTTTTTGAACTATTAGCTAGAGAAATTTCCCTCATGAATTATTTTTTTGTTTAAATCTCAAAAAATGTATAAAAAATTTCAATAAACATGAAACGCTCTAGAATACCTCTAATTAGAGAGAAAATTTTCAAGAGTTTCCTCCACAAAAAAAAACTCCTCACATTGAAATCCTAAAATCATAACAAGAGTTTCTTAAATTTTCTTGGTATGTTGGTCCTATCATGCTCCTAACCCAAAATCCACATGGGGTAAGAGTCAAGCCGACTCGTGAGCTGGCTCGAGCTCCGCTCGATAAGTGATTCGTAAGCAAAGCTTGATAAGCTAACAAGCCAAGCTCAAGCTAGCCCCGACTCGACTCGTCAGCTCATAAGTCGGATCGTTTAAAAAAATATTAATATAAAATATACTCAAAAGATATTAAATTTTAAGACTTTATCTTTAAGGTGTTAAAAATGTTTGCATAATAATATTTTTAGTGTATATTAGGTTATGTCTTATTATTTATCTCTTAATTATTCATTTCATTTGTCATCTTACTATAAAGCTAGCTTAAATTAATATCATTTTTTCTCTTTTATAACAAACAAGCTGGCTCGTGAGTCGGCTCGAACTCGTAAACTTAATCTCAATCTTGAACTCAAACTAAATAAAATTAATCAAACTCAAGCTCGAGTGTAGCTCGAGCTAGACAACTCGTTTACACCCCTTGATATGATATCAACTCCACCACGACCATAATGCTCATCCTAGCCCTGTTAGGAAGACCTCAAAAACCTAATTGAAGCCCATACTGCCACACTAGTCTTGCCATTAGAAGATCACATGCAATACTTAATTAAAAGAGTCCTTGAGACTAAAACTCAACATCTCCTAAAATTAAGGGTTTGTTTGTGGCAGTTTTCTAATTGTTATGCTTTTAAACTATAGAAACCCATTTTTTACTACTTTCTTCTTGTGGCTTTTCAAAAACTTTGTGATAGAAAGCTTCATTTGATAACTACAGTTGTTAAAATATGACATTAATGAAAAAAGTTGTCATCTAACTTTTTCATGATATATATTTATAGTAACTTTCAAAAATATTACTTTCCACCCATAGAACGAGCACATCTAGAAAAAAATATAGTCACCCCAAATAAACCCTAAACTAAGGAGTTTACTTAGTGGAAGGGCTTCAATAAATGCCCCAATAACGAAAACCTTGCTTACAACTAAATTAGAAAGTTGTTCTCTTGAGATAGAGATTAGGCTTTTTGCCTCAACAATCATACAAATGGGATTGAATAGAGAAGTTTTCTATAAGTTGTGGCTTGGGCTGATGCCTTAAAGAACATCTTCATATGGGTCCTAATCAAAAAGTTTGCTCAAAATTATGTCTTGTGCTGATGCTTTAGTGCCAACATTACTTCGATTGAATTAAAGAGTTCACTTAGGGTAATGGCTTGGACTTGTGTCTCGACAACCATAAACCCATATGGGAATGAATTAAAAAATCACTTAGGTTTTAAATAGGTTTTAATTCCTCAACAAACATTCACATGAGACTGAATTGAGTTCTCTTGAGGCTATGCGCCAGGATCGTGCTAGGGGGTGTAAATTTAGGTTAATAGATTGAATTCAAGTCTACTTAAATTTGACCCGATCAGAATATGCAGGACTTGAACTCAACTAGTTTATTAACGGGTCAAAAAATCTAATAGAAAATCAACCTACATTCAACAGTAACACAAACCCTACATGCATAACTTATTTAATATTAGGCATAACAGCCATTCAAGACAAATTCAAGTCAAATACAGGTTAATTTCTAGCTATGGGGTCAATTTTGACTGATATGTCGGTCAAATCCAACACAAAAAATTAAATGAGTCAAAATTATCAACCTGAACCTAACCTAATTAACCAAGTTAACCCAAACTCAAACTTATTCAATTTTCACACCCATAGATTATGCCTCAGCAATCACAATCTTGCCTTTGGGTAAATTAATTTGTTTGCACAAGGCTATAGCTTGAGCTTATGCGCCAAGATAAAGCCTAAACTATGCCTAGAGCTATACCCAAAACTTATGCCTCAAAAAGACCTCATTACAAATGATTTATAGTATTCACTGGAAACAAAAGCCTTGTTTTATGAATTGACAATCACAGCCCATACATTATTGAATTTAGAAGTTAGCTTGCAACTATGATTTGAGCTAACACTTGATGACCATAATCTCCCTAAAAATAAATTAAGGAGTTCAAAGATGTATCCTAAGGTTATAGTATGAGTGAATGCCTCAACAATAACATACTCTCCCACGTTTGGGATTATCCTTTAGGGTGTTTCTTAAAATGATGAAGTGAATATTATTGAGAGTGTAGCAAGTTACCACTGAAGTTAGAGGGATCTTGAAAGCCTAATCCTTTCTTATCTTCCTTTCAGGATTTGGCATCTTTCCAGGTTTTCTTGATGGAGTGATTTAACTCAGTATATTAAGATATTAATTTTTTTATCAAGTTTTCATGTGTATAGAAAATTTAACATAAGTTTATGCTTCAATTAAGGCCGGCGCCAAAGTTGCATGATATTAAAGAGATGAAGATATTGAAGATGTCCATATAAAGTGTCATACTTAAGGAGCGAACAACAAAAATGTATGCAGTGGTGCAAGCAACAAAGCCTGACAAGAAGCGAATAAGAGAATTCTATGAAGTGGTGCAAGCAAGAGATTATGTTGCACGAGGAATGAGATAAAGTTGCATGCAGAGATCCTGGTGACAACGTTGTTTAAAGAGTAGATCAAGAATCCATATGAATTAATCTACCGGTAATGCAAGCTTAAAGAGGAGTTAATATATGCAGCCTTACAACTACATTCCCAAATAGGCAACGAACCAAGACCTCTATATTATACTAGAGCCAACTAAATCATCACCTCAGGAAACCCTCGAGCTTAAATGAATATAACCTGAAATCACTTTGGTGGAGTCTCTTTGGGAATCAGAGTGCGACAAAAAATTCCTTTTTGTTGCCACCTTGGGAGGAATTTATGATACTTAGATGAAAAGCATTTTGCTACCCTGACGAGGAATGTGAAAAATAGCTAAGTGATGTCATCTCAGAGATTCGGTTAGGGCCAAAATGCCCCTGAATTAAGGGTTTTGTCCTTGGATTGATTGAAGGGCAGAGAGCCTAGTCAGAGCAATGAGGATGGATTGATGTAGACCCTACGCACCAAAATTAGTTTTATGGAGATCTGAATTTGATGACTGAATCTACAACAATGACTTAGAGATTGGTGCCGATGGTGATTTGAATTAAATGTCAAGATATAAAATTACAAAACTGGTTTTGATTAGATATACTTCATCAAGTTCAATAGGACAGGCGCAAACCTTAAAGCAGCCTATTGATATAAAAGCTAGAGGATCATCATCACGCTTAAACTTATTGCAAGATCATTGAAGCATAAAAGATGACTTTGATCAAACAATTATAATTAGATAAGAGAGAGTTTCAAAAACATATCAACTATTGTACGAATTAATAGCATAAAATCATAAAGGTGCTTCCATTTGCAGTACTATAAAAGTTAAAGACAAGAAACTCTGGAGAAAAGAAGAGTGATTTGTTGTCTTTACAATGAATATAAGGGGAGCTATAAATAGGAAATGAAAAACTAAATGGAAAAGGAAGGAAGGCAGAAAAATGAGTAAAATGCAACGCTATATTTATCGTATTATAATGTAACAAAAAGGAGTAAAGGGTGGAAACTTCAAAAATTTTAGTCCATGTGGCATTGCAAATCCAAGTGCTCAGCTTTTTGCATGCAACATCAGGTAAGGTAAAAGGGGTTCAGGCCATTTGATTGCAGCAGTTATTCAATAGTAAATATCCAGCTTAGCAGACAACTTACAAACACCAGCACTATTTTGAGTTGTAAAGACAATACTAGATCATGCAATATTTTGAGTCGGTAAGAGACGTTGCCCTTAAAAAGAAATTGGGTTCATAAGCTAACTCTAAATATGCAGTTTAGAGATTCTGATTAATGGTGTCCTAAGAAAGAAAATGAACTTTTCTCAATAAGATTACAACATTTTTTACTAAAAAAATATTTAAAACGTTGATCAGATTAGGTTTCCCATAAAAAACATTTTCCCAATTGTTCTAGTCCATTTCATGATGATCACAATTCACACTTGATACTGCACCATCATCAACTTAAGAGAACAGCAATTTAATTGTCCATTAAGGTAAAATGCGCTTACATTGTTCAGATTCTTCATCCTCATCACACCATTTATTCCAATCAACCTTGATATATGGAGCAGGTTTCTCCTCCGATTTCAGTAGTCGCTTCCACCAACCTCTCTTCTCCTTATGGATGGAACAGATAATGTTGCGCAATCCAATATGGACTTTTCCTTTCTGAAAAATTTTATATAAAAAAAGTGAACATATGACCATGGGATGTGCAGCTAACAAATTTAAGAAAAATGATGATGGTTAAAGTTCTGGTAATTAAAACTAAATGCAGAAGTTCATTTAAAGATCATTTGCTTGTTTGTAGGAAAAGAGTACCTCTAATTTAAGATATGGAAAACAATATAAAGTAGAAATATAGAAAAAATATAGGGAGGATAAAAAATATTCGCAGCTTGACACTCGCCAAAAATTCAACTGAAACCACAATAGATTAATATGTTCAAGTTGATTCACAATTCAATGCATATGAAACGAAGACAATGCTGGATTGAATTTGAGTCAGTGATCTGTAGCCAGCTGCTCAATGTCATTGCACAAGCATACAATGAGAGGCTAAGAAGATAGGAATTATTTTCAGAGGATCATAATTACTAGTGAATCAAATCCCAGTTACCAGAGAATCTTCTTATGTAAATAGATGTTCCCTTACTGTTTTGGCTTCAAACTGTTGTTCAAAGCAATTCCTCACTTCTAAATTCAGATTTTTTCCTCTGGGTCAGTAATTGCCGTGCTATAATCCACCCCTTGTACAGTTGGACAGGAATTATTTTCAGAGGGTCCTAATTACTTGTGAATCAAATCACAGTTACCAGTGAATCTTCTTAATGTAAATAGACGTTCCCTCATTGTTTCGGCTTCTAAATGTTGTTCAAAGCAATTCCTCACTTCTAAATTCCGATTTTTCTCCTCAAGGTCAGCAATTGCAATGCTATAGTCCCACTTCTTTTACAATTGGATAGCTTTGAAATTAATGGAAAATAGCAAAAATCAGCAAAAGGGTAGTGGCAACAGCAGAGAAACAAGCGTTGGTAGCAACACAGAGCAGCTATAGAGGCTTGAAAGGCAGGGCCTTTTGGCTACAAGAGTAGGAAACACAAGCTTGAGGTTATGGATGGGCGAGAAATTCTGGTTGGCTGGGGATTATAAGAAAAAGGGAAAAAGTTGGAAGAGATCCAAATTGATTTCATTGCAGGAAACCAAACCCTTCGTATGCAATTAAAGAATAAATAAATTATTATTTACTTCCTGAACGAATTCCACTAAATAAAAAAATCCTTTCTACAAATAAAAAATTAAATAAATCAAGATTTAAAAGATAATTACAATAGAATTTTATCCTAACACAGAATTTTAATTAAAAAAAATCAAAATAACTTACAAATTTAGGTTCATCGTTAACTTGTTATAATATGAATTTGTTTATGCAACACAAGGACCCATTAGACCCATTACAAGGAGTCAAAGCAAGAAGAAAAGTTGACCATTTGCAGTGCATGAGGAAAACATTTGCTTAGATTTTTTTTACCTAGAATTTATACGTTTTTAATATATTATAACTTTTAAATCGCAGGACTGTGTATCTGTATTTTAGTTTCATGAAATCTTACAAAAATATATATATATAATTTCATTTGAGTTAAATTTTTAAATTTATGAGATGACAATTATGAAATTATGAGGGAAATAATTAATTGCATAATTATCAATTTAACTTTTAAGCTGTTAAGGCTGGCCAAAAAGGGAAAAATCTCCCTCCTCAATTCCACTTAAAGAGAGCCACCTCACTCTTTTCCTCCTTTTATTTTATTCATTTTTTGCATTAGAGATTATAAGGGGATTATATACTTGATAATTTGTTGGATGAATATATATTATTGTTGGTTGAATTCACAATTTTGAGTTTTTCCCATGGTGCGGAGGCTTGGTGGTCATCCAAGGATACTTTGTGACCATCCTTAACCTACCTTTTTGGTGAGTGGAAGTTTTATCCCTTTTATTTGCAAAATTTTCTAATTTATTTCTGTTGGAATCTTGTGGTACCTCTTCTCCATCTTTTCATAAATTTTTAAAAAATTTTCCATACAAAACAATAGTAAAAAAAACTTATTGTATGGCTTTAGGCCCATATCTTTTTGTTTTATTTATGAATGTTCGTACTGGACATTTACATGAGGATGTACCATGGGGTATTCTTTTCGTTGATGATATCTTTCCTTTGGATAAGACTAGAGGGTGTGTTCAAAAAATATTTGAATTATGGAGGGCAACTTTTGAGTCTAAACACATTTTTTAGTAGGTCTAAAACTGAATGCATGGAATGTAATTTTAGTAGTAGTAGATCTAGTGGTTGGGTTGTAACTATGAGTGTTCAAGTTATGAAAAGGCGAGAATATTTTTATGAGGATGCTATTCAAGTTGGATGGTTGAAGTGAACGAATGCATCGGGCCTATTGTGCAATAGAAAGTTACCGCTTAAAATAAAATTTAATAAGATAGTGGTGAGACCTGCAATGTTCTATGGCACAAAATGTTAGCATGTAAAAGAGAAGCATAAAACTAAGTTAAGTGTTGTTGAGATGAGAATGCTTATGTGGATGAGTGACTTCCGTGGATGAGTGACTATACACTTGGAAACAAAATGTGAATGACTATATCCGTGAAAGAGTTGGTGTATGTCCAGTGACAGACAAGATTAGAGAGAGTCATCTTAGATGGTTTGGTCACATTAAACGTTGACCGTTTTATGATCTGGTTAGGTGAGTAGCTGTTTTAGATTTGACTTATGTTAAGAACGGTAGAGGTAGACCTAAAAAGACCTAAGCATGCTGTATAAAAAATTATCTTTAATTCCTTAAAATTAAATGAAAATATAAAACTCAATGGGACACGATGGAGAAAAATGATTCATGTAGTCGACCTCACTTAATGGGATAAAGGCTTCTTCTTGTTGTTGTTATATATTCTTGCTCATAGTAAAACCTAGATGCAGGGGTAGAGTCAGCAAACCTCCTATAAAAAATAGAACATCAAAGAGTGTACATAAATGTCTAATTGATCTTAAAAACTTATACAAAATCATACTCCAAACACAAAATAAGCGACTATCAGTAACACACCTTGGTTTGTCAACTAAGTATTACCCAATATGAACTGTTTATGAAAACCATTATAAATATTAGGACATTCATTTGTTTGGTATGCTTAGACCAAATCATTTAGGTAAAATGAAAACCATTATACATGAAACCTATCGATTTAACTACGAAAGCAAAGTGCTGGTTGAAACTCTCAATCTGTTGTATCAACAATTCCCATCCCACCTGGGAGTAACATTTTCTGTTTTCTAATTAGATTGACAACAGCATTTTCACCAGCGGCAGTACTAACACTTAAAGAAAAAGGTGTTGAAATAAAAAAATCAAAGGGTGACAATTACGTAAGTTTAAAACTTACCTCTCCTCAAACTTTTTAAACCTATTATATATATAATCATCAAATTCAAAATATAATTAAAAAATAACTATTACTAAGTTTTGGGATGGCAAAATTTTTATTGTGTTATATGATGCTACCAAAGATCATACCATCCAAAGTATAAGCAAACAAAGGAAAAAAGGCTAGAAACTGATCACCTCAGGAAGAATCGAGTCATAGAGCTCCAAGTTAAAGCAATAGGACTCTCCATGAGTTCCAATCGCTGAGAAACTAAAGAAACCCTCCGGCTCACTCTTAGCACAGACATCTTTGGCATCCGGCAGAGATATCGTCAGATAAACCCTATCCGATCGCTGCGCCCACAAAACTTCTGGCTGCCGACTAAGGAAAAAACAAAGATAATAAAATCAATTGGCAAATTACAAACACTAGATATTCTTCAAGGTGAATGTACCATTGCAGCCATTAATGGAATCGAAAAGAAGACAATTCACGGCAGCTTACAAAGGAAGGTGGAAGCGTGTTTACCTCATCAGGAAGAGAAAATCCTATCGAAAATGGTGACGGAGAAACCCTAGAAAGCAGACTTGCAGCGCAAGAGAGTGAAGCCAGAACGGGAAGATATAAATGGCCGTTTGATTGGGCTTAAATTAGGATAAGACTGTTATTTTGGTTATTATAAATAATTGCACAATAAATTTAGTTATTATAAGGATATTTACATCCATACCACTTAATTCTAATATATTTACACATTTAGCCCCATAACTTCATTTTTTATATATTTCAATATTTCATATCGTACATAGTCATGAAAATGTATTGTTATGTAATATGAATGATTTTGATGGTATAGACGTAAAAGGAAAAGTTAAGATGTTATATATATATATATATATATAGAAATTTAAATAATTTGTGAAATTACTTTAAGAATGTCTTAATTAAATAAAAGTATTCGTTGAATGAGAATTCTAAAAAGATTATAAAAATTAAAAGGATAATTCATTATTACAATATTGTAATAATTGTGTCGGCTAGGTCAAGCCGACAATATTTAAATGTTGGTGTCTGATGTTTGTTTGATTTATTCCAACGTTAAGTTGGAATTTGGTAATTTTATTTTCATCTAATTTACATTAAAATATTTTGAAGCAAATAATTTACGTCAGATTTGTCTATAAATAACATGTCTCTAAATTTTCGTCTATCGAATGATGAATATTAGCGTTAGATTACCGTCTAATTTGCATCAAAAAGTATCATAGAACGACGAAATATTATTGTCGATGTAGTATTGGATTTTTAGTATGAAAACACACACAGATGTTGCGCAAACCTGTAACGCTGAATAAAATCAGAATATCAATTACAATTTTACAACCTGCACATACCGCATTAATCCAAATTTCTAAATAATATCATTAATAAAAGAAATATAATGTCACAAATTGACTCAAATAAGAATAGTGAAGTTAATCCAAAAATTTTCACAATGAATGTTTAATATAATGCTTACAAATAAAATAAAATATTAAAAAACTTACTCGTCGTCTCCATCCTCCTCCTCCTCCTGCATGAATGTCATCGGCTGCTTGTCCAAGCTGTCTGAGGTCTCCGTCATGCGCGCTATAGTGTCATTGGCTCTATGTTGGTCTTGTAGCATCTGCTCACGCAACTGGTGGATCTCTTCGTTCATTGCAGCCACCTGCTTGGCAAAAGCCTCCTGGTTTGAGACCACAAGAGAGCTCAGCCTCGAAGGCTATGCCCTTCCCTCCAATACCATAAACCTTCCCATTTTTCCTCCTTGTCTTCTAGGTCCAAAGCTCATACTCATGCTGCGCAGTGGTAAATTGACTACCACTGCTGCTGGCGTCAGTCTGTGCCCGAGTGGCCAAGTGCCTCTTTCAGAGCTGCTAAAACTCATGCATAATGAAAATCAACATTGAATTCAAGGTTATTAATTTACAACAACCTGTCGGGAATGCTCAGAGACTCACTGCGCAGTCCCCGGGTGCCAATGAGTTCGAACATGCAGCCCCGCAATAGAGGGAGCACGACTCAACTCCTTGCCCTGTACATCGTACAAAAATAGTCAGGACTAAAAAATTCTAAAAAAATTGAATTAATGATTAAATATCCAAGAAAATCTTATTAGCCTCTTGTAGTGCTCTGTATGGGGGTCTGATTCGCTGATATGGAGCGCGACTGCCCTGACCGATTCGTTGCCCGGTTCGCCCGATTCATCAGCCTCTTCCTCTAATAATCACGTGAGGCTCAGACATCATTTAACTTATCTCATAGCCCCTCGCCAATCCAAGCAGATCGCTTGCCCCTCCTGTGGGTTGTCGTGAACATATCGGTAAGAGGATGTCTGTTATGAATATCAAAAGATTCGGTGAATCTGCTGGTGGTGCTTCGGGAGTCAGGTAAGGGATATCAACAACATAAAAAATAATTCATGTGCTAGTATGAAAAAATAAATCAAATTCTTTATGTGACGTTGTGATAGAACTCCATTAAAATGATTTAGTTATCTATGATCAAGTTAGACATGATGATTAAAATAAAAAAAAAATAATTTTATTATGAAATATTGTATAAATAAAAAAGAGTATTTAAATATTGAACCAATAAGTTTATAAAAATTATGTGATATATAACTACTTACCATGAAAATTAAACTATCTGCATTTCATTTACCAAGAAAGCACCTAACTAAAAATATAAAAAAATAATCCTCTCAATTAATTTACAAACAACTAAATATTTTTTTTTTTAGTATTTATTTAGAATACACTGCTGTCAGAATGCTCTGCAATTAGGGTTGTCAAAAAAACTCGTTGATCGTGAACAACTCGTGTTTGACTTGTTAAGCAGTTTTTGTTTGGCTCGTTCGTTAAGTAAACAAGTCGAACACAAACAATTTTTTTAAGCTCGAATTGTAAACGAGCTGAATACAAACGGCTCATGTTCGATTAGCTTTATCTCGAAAGAAAAAAAAAATCATATAACTATTTATATAATAATATATTATATACATTATTTACATAATAATATATTATTCATATTAATATCTAAGTTTAAATCGTAACTGCTCATGTGTTAATGCGGTTATGTATTTTAATCTTACAAACATTTGATTCGGGTTTGAATCCAACACTCTACATTTATTTTTTTCAATTAACTTTAACGAATTAATTTCAAGTCGAACACTAATAAAAAAAAATTAAATCGAGTCCGACACTACTATAGTGTTCACTAATCAATTTCAAACACGAATAATTTCGAACGAGCTGAACACGAGCCAAACTATTTGGAGCCCTATATGCAACTCTTTTAACGTGCATTTCTTTTTCAGTATTTCAGTAGATAGAAACAATCTCTATACAAATGAAAAACTATTCTAGAGGAAAATGCATCATTCCCAAAAGTGAAAGCCCCGGGCCCACATTGCATGACAACCCATAGCCATTAATGAGATTAATAGTTTTAACCAACCATATCTTTCATAAATGAAGAACCAAATATGTCCCAATCTAAAATAAAGAGCTAATAAATTAATTACAATTAAAATTTTATTTTAAATATTTCATGAATAAACATTTCTTTTATTTTTGCCTTGTGCTTTGACTTTCTTAGTTCCCATTATATGTATGTATATATATATATATATATATATATATATATATATGTACA